CTCAAAAACGCGAAGGCGGAGGGACTCCTCATTACCAACGGATCCGACTCCGCCATTAAGGCCGTATAGCAGGCGAACAGGGAAGCCAGGGCGAGAGGGATGCCAGGATACCAGCCCGACCTAGCAGGATTGGAGGCTAAAGCCCCCTTCAGCAAGGGCGACTTGGAGTATCTCCGCCAGTATTTCACCGTGACTCCGGCTGACAGTATCTTTGGTCTGACGACCGAGGAAAGGGCCCGGGTTGGCCGTCTGAACGACTACTTAATGGCTAGGGATACGTTGGCCAAGGCTAGACGAGCCCTCGAGGAGAAGGTAGAGAGCTCGAACCCCCCCAAGATCGAAGCATCCACAGATGACATCTCCGGGACTGCGAGGCCTGTGATCGAGGGCCCCGGCGACCCTTTCTTCGGGCATGAGGCCAAAGACGACCCCACCTTGGGGATATCCGATGAAGAATACGACGGGATCCTCGGGATGGTTGAGGAGAAAACCCTCGCTGGGAACGGCTATGAGGCCGAGGAGGAAGCTGGTAAGGAAGACCAGCAGGAGCCGAGGGAGGCCAGCGTGAACATGGTCCTGGTCCTACCGCCTGAGTTCTCAGCCCCAAGGGAGCAGACTAACGGCCTGGATAATGACATGGCCGAGGAGCAGCTAGATCAGAGGCCGAAGACAAAGGAAGAATTGTTGGCCGTAGCTTTTAACGAGGTAATACCTAGGGACGAGCCGAACAAATATCGACATCTCAAGTCGTTGTATATTTCGGCTCACGTAGAGGGTGTGCCCGTGTCCAAGGTCTTCGTCGACTGTGGGGCCACGGTCAATATCCTCCCCTATTCCCTGATGAGGAAGCTGGACAAATCAAGGGAAGACCTCATCCCCAGCGACGTGGTCATGACCAGTTTCGTCGGCGATAAATCTAAAACCATCAGGGTATTGCCGTTAAAAATCACCGTGGCCGACCAGACAAGGGTCGCAGCCTTCTACGTAGTCGAATCCAGTGTGGACTTCAATATATTGCTCGGTCGTGACTGGATCCACCAATCCGGATGCATACCGTCCTCCCTCTTTCAATTATTTTCTTTTGGGACGGCCAGAGGGTGTCCATACACCCGACCGACGAAAAACCCTTCGAGACCAACGCCATGCAAGCGCGGATTTACGACGATGACGTTGGATGGGTTGTCCTCACCGGCCACGATGCAAGCGGCCGACCAACCAGGACAACAGCCCAGAAAGTACTGGAGTTAGGCACCGAGAATGTCCGACAGGATTCGGCGTACGAAGTATTAATCGACCTCACCAGCCTTTAGATGACAGACAAAGCCACTGAAGAAGAAGGAGCGGCGGCCGTGACCGACCTGCTGGAAAGACTGCTGGAACATTGGGCGGAGGAGTCCCTGCGGCCAAACTCACCAATCAACCTGATCGAATTCCTCCACGAATCAG